GCGAGGGAAAGTTTTTTTTGGTATTTCCCTCGCTGATCCCTCGCAGATCAGCGAGGGATCAGCGAGGGAAATCCCAAAAAACTAAATCCCTCGCTATTCCCTCGCTGATCTGCAAGGGAAATCCCAAAAAACTAAATCCCTTGCTATTCCCTCGCTGATCTGCGAGGGAAATTTTCCGTCGCTGATCCCTCGCTGATCTGCGAGGGATCAGCGAGGGAATGAGTTTTTTGGCAATTCCCTTGCGCTGATCCCTCGCAGATCAGCGAGGGATCAGCGACGGAAGGTTTCCCTCGCAGATCAGCGAGGGAATAACGAGAGATTTAGTTTTTTGGGATTTCCCTCGCTGATCTGCGAGGGATATTTTCCCTCGCTGATGTTCGTCGTTGATACCTGTGTTTCTAATAGTGGTTGTCTTGGTTCTTATACAACATTGAGAAGGCAACACTACTTAGGCAACACGGGTTTGTTGCCTAAGCCTTACGCAACATATAAACTCCTCTTAGGCAAAAGTCAAATGCAACAAATGTCACTTTTAAATCAAAAGTCAAATTATTTGTAGAGAGCATTTATTGCTTAAAAAAAACGTAGTTGGTAGTGAAATCCTTTAACACAATCTTTTGTCAATTAAATATTTGCTTAAGGCAGCTAATCACAGTTCATCTGGTCAGCCTGCAGCCCTTTACGTTCAAATCTGACCAACGATCATGGACACCCTTTCATTCAATAATTCATCCATCATCTATAATCTATATTCATATCCTTTTAACTTATTGAAACAGATCTACATCCATATTCATTCCACTATAAAACCAATTACCATCCTTCTATCCTATCCACCTTGTCAAAACAAAGTCAACACACACCCTAAAGCTCATATGATGCACACAGTTAGTTCTCTGATTCCCATTTACGTGGGGTTTCTTGTTTGGGCTACCTCCACCACCCTTATTGCCTCTCAGACCATTGTCAAATCTTTACCAGGCTATCCTGGTCCCCTTCCTTTCAAACTAGAAACTGGGTACATACATATAACTCTTTCCATCTGGTCTATGGATGTTTTCATTTCCGATGGATGGATATGTTAAAGTGTGGTACATGTTTAGGTACATCGGAGTAGGAGAAGATGAAGCTGTACAACTGTTTTACTATTTTGTGGAATCAGAAGGGAACCCAGATGAAGATCCACTCATTATTTGGCTTGCCGGAGGACCTGGTTGTGGCACTCTTCGTGCCTTCTTTTATGAAATCGGTATGCATCCGACGCTTACCATTACATTTCGTTAAAGTTCAATGATTTAAAGCTATAAATTATAAACCACAAGGGTGGTGTATGATTGGTTTGAGCTTGGCTCCAAAGATCAAAAGTACCGGGAGGTCACAGGTTCAAATCAAATGAGGAAAATAAATCCCCTTGTGGCCACGGAAGTTCAAATGTGGTGACTTCGGRCTATCTGCAAAGCAGGTGGTCACCCTAAGATTAATCGGCTCGCATATCCAGATTAATAAAAAAAATAAAGCTATAAATTATAAACATGTTGGTAGTTTTTTATTTAGGAACCCCACCTTAATTAATTATCCTACAAATCAGAATTTTAATAAACAACTTAGGGGTTGTCTGTTTTTATTAAAAAACACTTAATGTCCTCTTTAGTTTGAATCGGTCAGACATAAGATGATTCAGTGTGTTTGTTTTTTTTTTCTTCCAATTAAGAGCTTAAAAGCTCTTATTAGGTCTGAAAATTTAAGTGGCTGAGAAACCTCTTATTTCAAATTGTCGTCTACCTACTCTGATCTCTTTACGCTCAATTTCTCTGGATCAACTCTTCTGTCTCGATCTCTCATCTCTCACTCTGTCAACTGTCGATCTATATCAACTCTCGATCTCTCATCTTCAAACTTCAGATTTCTGACGCAAAAAACAAACAGTCTGATTGATTCAGATTTCAGACTTCAGCACCACCTCTTAAAAATCAGAAGTGAATTCAGAATTCAGACTTCAACACCTCTTAAAAAACAAACGCCATCTTAGTCACATCAATTCCAATTATAGTAACTCCGGCTCTATCCACGAAAATTAACAAAATAGTCGCTATCCTTAATCAAATTCACTTTTAGACATTTTTTCAATGAAATTTCCAATATAGCTAGAGTTTATGCAAATATTTTACGTATTTACATAAAATCGATGTTTTATGTATTTGCTTACACTTGATCTTCAGATTAGAAAAAAAGATCTTTACACAAATTTGCATAGGTATATATATAGGTAGGTAGGTTCATACTAGAATGAAACTTTTTAAAGAAAATAAGAGAATGGTCAAATTACGTATGAAATCACGTGTGATTTTATATTAAAGGTCAAAAAAGTGTAACGGCAATCCTATGGCCGCGTGAATCGCATGTGATTTTCTACGTGATATTATTGTAAAATCACATGTGACTCGGTCATTTTCTTATTTTTTTTAAATATGTATTATTTCCGTATGAACCCAGCTCTCTCTCTCTCTCTCTCTCTCTCTCTCTCTATATATATATATATATAGACAAAAGATCGTGTGAAAATATGAATTAATGTGAGAAGTGTAAAAATAGATTTAGACACTTGATCATTTTTAATCTTCGACCAACCAATCAGTTGCGTTTTAGAAGAGATTTATCTGGTACTTCTAATTAGCGTTGATCTAGTAGAACTCTTCAATTAGAATTAATTCAAGGATGAAGAACTCTTCTTACATTTCTCATCATAACTCTCATTTTCACTAGAATATAACCCTATGTGTGTATGTGTATATATATAATGTTTATTTTATCCTTTTATTAAATAAGGTATGTGGTCCATATATATCTTCTTTTCTTTTCACAAAATTAATTTCTTTCTCATGATCATTTATTTATGTATATAAATTTGTGTGTGTGAAGATCAAATGAAAACGATACTATTTTAACAAAATATAAAACCACGCCATGTGTATATTACCGGTTTATTATATGACATAATTGTTTGTTTTGAATATTCATACGTTCTCATAAATTGAAACCATTCTCGTTTAAACTCTTTATGTTCTTTGTTATAAAAATTTAAAAGAACCAAAATTTAATATGTTTTAATGATCAATACTTTTTTATTTATTTATAAATTTGGTTGAATGCTAAAATGGATAAATGATTGTGATTGACGTATTTCTCCCCACAATTACGCGCAATCAAGTTTCTCCATACCACCATATCTTCTACAATTTGATAACATTAATTATTTGTTTGTTGTAATAAAATTGATTTTCTATATTATAAAATATTTGAGATAAAGTTTAAAATTATTTTTTATAC